GACCTGCTGTACCCTACTGGTCACGGCTTCCCAATTGAATCCCTAAAAAAGCCAATACTTGAAAATTTTTTATTATTGTCTTATTTTAAATTAGGACGAAGTACCATTCAAACCTGAATTGGATTTTATCAATACACCGATGTTGAAGATAAACAAAGTAAGAGTTTTTTTTTGAAAAGTTGGATATGTTCACTTAATTAGTGACTACTATATATATGGCTAGGCTATTATATCGCTACTTGTTTTATTTATTAATAACAGTTAGGTGATTAGTCGTTTATGAAAAGTGACATAAAAAAAAACATGGACTATAGGTAAATTGAAGCCCATAAATTACATCACTCTATACACTCTATACGCTATGATTATTCTCGGGTAAGCATACCTTCACGTAAACAACACGCCACCGTAAAACTGAAATGCATATCTAATATTCTAATCATCAAACTATCCAATTTCATGCATATATTGCTAGTGAATCTAGCAAAATGATATGCAATATTTTCATAGTTATTGCAATTTATTCTGTAAATCTTTGAATTTCGCCGTTTTTTTATTGGTAGACAAAAGTTCCAAGAGGAAGTCGAAATTCTCAGCATTCAGTGTTTAAAAATTATCCCGTGTTTGTTGATGTCTAAGATATTGTGTAGTGTGAATTATTTTCTAACTGTAGCATTTCGTAGTGCCGACTGTAATATTCTGATGGTATATCAATTACTAAGAAAAAAACACGAGTATCTTAGTGAATCACAATGAAATCAAAGATATTCTTGTTATACTTGAATGATTTGAGTACCGTGGGATTTTGAAGAACTCATAGGTATATTATTGTATCTGTGACAATATCAATGTTGAAAAACGAATGTGTCAGTCGTCTGCCGGCGAAATTAAACTATCCTAGCTAAAGTCAAGGTCTGTGAAAAGTTGATCTTTAAGAATCCATCAGAATTAGTGGACACTATATGAGAGGTTATCCCAAGCCAAGTAATGCCTGTCTTTAATGTATTTGTTGCGGGCAGGTGCAGTATTCTTATTATTATCTAGGTACTTTCTCTGTAATTTTATACTATTAGGTAGGGTCAGGTTGAAGAACAGTGTCAGGAATGTCAATGAATCCCTAAGTATCGTGGTCTACGAACGCCTAGATGGATACATCTATCACTCACGGCATAATTTCTCTCTATGGATTGTCCTTGGAGTAACTGGAAGACATTCTTACACTACAGAAGAGATAATCATCCAATGTAATATCATGTCTGTAATTTTCTTTCCTTTACTTACTTACTTTACTTTACTTCGGCTATCTCCTACGGGAGGATGAGCTGGCTTCATGAACGTCTCGAATCATCGCTGCCCAGGCGCGGCAATTTGTAAGAGAGTTCATGAAGTTTCATGGGAATTCGGTACGAGTGATGTCCCCAGAATCGCTCGGCCTTTTGTTTGAGAGTGCAGCTCTAGCCTTTACACAGCCAAGTGTGACCTACAAGGCAGTAGGAGTGGAGTAAGGAGTCCACTATCCATTGGCAGCCGGTGACCGGAGTTCGGTTCATACGCCTTTTTGAATGGGGCCAGACATCCAGGACATCCAACAAGCCCTTTGTCCATACGTCTGCCGGTGAGCTCCAGTGAGCTTCATACGCCAGTCGTTGGAGGTTCGGAATCAGGGTTTAGCCATCTCCCCTAGACCGTCATCCAATGGACAGTCAACCCGGTGGAGAGCGCTGGGCATCCGCTTTCGCCCTCTCACTTTGGTGAGAAACACCTCCGCCACGTGAAGGCAGTGAGTAGGACTTCCTCAGGAGAGGCTATGTAAGACGCCCGGTCATATGGGAGCATTTCAGGAGGTGTGCGGAGGGGTGGCCAACCCGCAGCGCAAGGCACCCACCCCCGACCATCCTGAGGCTTTGGAGGCCCTTTCCTTTACGTTCCCCAGTGGAACATAGGGCTTCAAGCGAGTGGCTTGAAGTTTCTGTAGCAGTGTCTATTTTACAGGATGGAGTTGCTAGCCTCATGTTCAACCTTTCCTCTCTACCAGCATTATTTCTGGCTTAGCGAGGTAATGGAGTGCATCGGTGGCACAGCGGTTAGGACTCTCGCCGATCATTCACATTTCTGCAGTATAGCTTAACAAATATTTTTTTTAACGGTAATGCGACATTTTGCACACGAATTGGGATTGGTTGTTCATAATAAAGGTGCCTTTGGCTATGATAGTTTAACTTCGTCCGTCTACCGCATATTTACTTAGATTATGGCGTAATGATTTTTCTCATTCCTTTGCGTCTTGATTGGAACACGAGGCTTCAAGCTTCGATATTTTATTAGCTTCAGGGGCTTTGTTATGATGAGATGTGTTTGCTAGTCTCATGCCTAACCTTCCCTTTTTCTCTGGGCTTACTACCATCTGGTTTCGGAGTTCATCGGCCGAACATTGAACCCTGGATCACATGCGTAGTAATTCTTAGTTTCTATCATAAGTATAATATCATGTGGATAGTACTCCTATGAGTTAACTGTGTTTTATCGACCACTTAACTGTAAATGCTAATATACACTCAGATATTAAAATCCACTAATTAGTGCTGACTATGGGAAACCTTGAAAGGCATCATTTATCCTAACAGTCAACTGTAATGCGGCAGTTTTCTTTTCTCAAAACTTGATTTTAGAAAGGTATCATTTTATATTGAATAGCTCTCTCTGCATTACTGATAAGCGACACTATTTATATTGTAACGACAGGGAACAGATCGTTTATCTAGAAAATCAACGGATATTTATACATTTTTATGTCCATTATTATTAGCGTTATAGTTAGCAGAGAAGCAAACTCTTCTGATTGGTTGTTTTCCTGCCGAAGGTTATTCTGTCATCTGTTTGCTGCCGTTTCTTAGACAGTTCGTTGATATATCTGCTAATCGTATTCGCCCACGCTATGTCTTCTCTGATCGGTTGTTAATTTTCCCAAGGTTAAGCTTTGTTCTTGTTTTTTCTTGTGACCAAGATTTCCTACGTAAACATTGACGTAAATTGCTGTCTACTAATTTTGGCTAACAGACAGCTGTCACCACAATATGACCAAAGTTCAGACTGGTTTTCGAAACTGCTATAGATTCTTGTATCCCAAATTTTCTCCCAAATCAGGAATTATTTATTTTACTCGATATTATATTATTATTATTATTATTATTGTGTACTGACGCATTACTTTTCTCTATAGATCCGATTCAATCCGAATCCAACAGGAGCAACATGGATTGCAGTAGCAAATAGTGTCGGTTTTATTCAATTCATATGTCTAGAACAATTATACTGTAAACAATTTGATATCGCTTTGAATCGTAAGCCAACTGGTAAAGATTCAGTCTACTTAGAATCGAAACCAAAAGAAGTCATCAGTAAACCGATAAATAATACACCGAAACCATTACGCAAAAAGAGTCAGCGTAGACCACGTACTACTACTACTACTACTTCCAATTCTAAGCCTAAATTACCGTCATCATCAACATCATCCGTACAGCCTGTACAAATCAGAATTCAATCAGTGAATGACAATAATAATAATGATGTAACAGAAGATAGAAGAGAAGCTATCAGCAGTGACTTATCTGGTGATAGTGATGCCACTGAAATGATGATTAATGATATGCAGACCTTGAATATCATTGAAAATAAGAATGAAAATGCTAGAAATAGAAGGAGAAGTAGACGTCTTCAGTCTCAACAAAGTACTTTCAATTTGTCAAATTCATCAACTGATCCATGTCAAGAACCATAAATTTCAATGTGTTATTTGTAGCCACAAAAAAAAAAAGAAATATGCATTTTGTACAGTAAAGTGTCATGTATATATATAGACGTATACATTTTTCATTTCATATTTAATATATTCTTATAAAAAAGCTACTTTTCTATCTCTCGAACTCATGCAGCCAGGTGAGGGCTTACGGTGAGTTGTCATCTGAACTGGTGACAACTAGTGGTGTCCGTCAGGGAAGCCCACTATCGCCATTACTAATGGACTTAACCCTAACTGACTTCAGAGACTCAGGGATAGACTTGCTACCAGGGAATAATCTTGTTGACTTAGAATATGCAGACAATATGGTCCTTCTAGACGGGGACGCTGACAAAATACAGCAGAGTCTTCTGAACACCTTGAGCTGCAATCTGCGAATGTTTGGCATGCGATTAGTTCCCGCCAAATGCAAGATGATGTTACAAGACCCGACTACACTGACTCCTAGTTTAGAAATAGGGAGTGAAGTGGTAGAGCACGTTGACCGCTTCACTTATTTGGGAAGTACCATCAGCCAGTGTCAGCGGGTTGATCCCTGACGAAATCTCATCACGGATACAGAGGGCTAGCTTCGCTTATGCCAGTTTACGTCATCTTAGGCGTAGACGTGATATCTGGCTAGCTGTCGACCCAAGGGCGTGTGTACTGCTCATCAGTCCTCTCCGTCCTCCTTTATGGCTGTGAGACCTGGCCATTGAGAGTGGAAGACATGAAACGCCTGACTAGCTGTCTTTGATCATAGGTGACTGCGCTCTATATGCCGTGTGAAGTGGTATAATAAGGTGAGCAATATTGAGGTTTGGCGTCGAGTTCTAGGTAAGCAAGGGAAATCAATCGACGAGGCTGTGAAATTAAATCGACTGAGATGGTTAGGACATGTGTTGCGGATGCAATTAAGTTGATATCTTTCTTGAACACTTTGATTGATAATAGGTGTCTGCATTCTATCCCCAGTGTTAATTGGGATAATAAGGTAAGCAATAATGAGGTTAGGCTTCAGTTGAGTGCCAGGTAAGGAGGGGGGTGAAATCAATCAACAAGGTTAAGATGGTTAGGAGATGTGTTACGTATGCCTAGCTGTCGCCTTTCTCGACATACGGGCAATGTTAGCTGACGTAGGGTTAGGCTGGAAAAGAGTTAGCTGCGGTCAAACCAAAACATGGTTTCACCAGTCAGTGAAATCCACAATAGTTAGTTTAAGCCAGTCACGTAGGAAGGTGTAGACTTCCTGACTGGTTGGGGTCCTCGGAACGGTAAAAACCAATGGTTGGAAACAATTGGTAACATGGCTGAAAATCGTTCTCAATAGCTGGGGCAGATGCATTCACTCCTTGTAACTTATAATTTCCAATGAAACTATATTGTTCTTCGTTATTACTATTCCTTTGTCTCACACCTCTGTTTACTGTCTCTACTGTGCATTTCTTCTCTTGCTTTGTGTGATACAAGGAAGGAGTATGGCGACTTGAACTGCCGCATATCGGTGCAGCGTTCTATGTCGAAAACAGACAGACAAACTTTTCTACTTTACGATTACTACTCATATATAATTTTATAATAATAATAATAATTTTTCAAGAGTTGATTTGCAGGTATTTGATTTGTTTTGGAAGTTCGACCACGGACTGATATCAGTTAGAGAACTATTGAAAACCAGGAAGTATTAGATAGCTAATTCATCCTAGTTCCGCCAGTGTCATCAGTGAGCATTTTTTCCTCACTCCTGACAGGATGGACGCCACTAGTCACAACTCCTCACTAGAACTCCAGGAAACTGCCTCCTGTAGCCAATCACTAGCGAGCATCAGGCATTGGCTGGTGGTTTGGCTAAAATCACGAATTGGTAGAAGTTAGAACTCATGGTTGAGTGATCTACGGGCTTGCCTTGTAACCGGAAAATTCTGGGTTCAATCCCCTTCGGTGGATGCGTACTATCGATGAGTCCCTGAACTAGGGAGAAATAGCTGACCAGTACTTCCTCCTGATTTTCAATGCCTCTCTAACCGGTGTCGATCCGTGGTCGAACTTGAAATGAAATAATAATAATGGCTTTATTTTGAAAGATGCATTTTTACACAATACAGAATTTTCAGCGAGTTTTATTGCGAGGTACCTGTTGTGCCGAATCTTCTAATAATCGTTAATATATCATGTGAAGAAGTGTTTTTGCACCCGAATTATGCTCCGATGCTATTCCACAATGTTCTTTCTCCATTTCCTTCAAAAAACCTCCAAGTAGTAGGTAGAAACTCATTTGAAACTATGCGCCAGTATGGAATACAACTCATTGTGCTAGTTTGATGATTAAAACAATTTGAAAAAGAGTAAACACGATACTTTTCAGTGGGATAGAAAATTTAGGTAGCCCAGTGATTTATGTAGGCTGAAAATTTCTAATATTAATATAGTGCAGATTATTTAACCAGTGTGAATTTTGCTTCGTGCATACCATCCTTTACCTCGGTAAGCCAGAAATAATGCTGGTAAAGAGTAAAGGTTGGGCATGAGGCTAGCAACCCCATCCTGTAAAATACACACTGCTACAGAAACTACAAGCCACTAGCTTGAAGCCCTATGTTCCACTGGGAACGTGAAGGAAAAAAATTATTACTAATACCAGACAATGATTTACACATTAGATGATTGGAGGCAACCTGTAGGAAACCTTGGACCTAGGTTTCGTGCCTGTGAGCACTTGTCAACAAGACTTATCTGCAGTCTTGAAGGAACTGATGTCCTCTCTGAGATTCGAACCTATGTCATCTGTTGTTGCAGTCAGAGATGTTACTGCTGAGCTATTCGGGTTGGTGTTTCTATCAGTGAAAAATCTTAGTATTTACTTTCCAGATGCTCTAAGTTAAATGTGATGAATCTCTGTTCGTGTAAGAGACGACAGTTATGAAGCAGAAGGAAGATCAAAGAAGGTCAAGAGCAAAATAAAAATAATGGTGAAACTAATAATGACAACACGAATAAGAGAGAATATAAGGCATCTACAGTTATACCATATAAGGAGGTGACATCTTGGGCTCTACTTAGAATTCTCAATAAAGCATGAATTAGGGTGACATTCAAACCTACAAACTCACTCACAGACAAGCTCTGTAGGTTAAAGGACCCCATTAGACAAAATAATATAACTTACAACATACCTTGCATTGACTGTGAGTTAATTCAACTACATAGATCAAACTAATAGGTCGGGGGTAGTCATATTGTCGGAACATAAGAATTTAGCTAAGATAAGAATGGTTGACTCCAACCGAGAAGATAAGTAATTTAGAAAAAAGCTCAGTAATTGCAATGCACGCATTAACACACAATATGGTGGGAGAGGGTTAAAATTATAAAAAGTAATCTAGGTAGGTGCGTCGGTGGCATAGCGGTTAGGACGCTCGCCAACTATGCACATAGTCCAAGGTTCGATTCCCGGCCGACGCACCCCTTTACCTCGCTAAGCCAGAAATAATACTGGTAAAGAGTAAAGGTTGGGCATGAGGCTAGCAACCCCATCCTGTAAAACTGAAAACATTGCTACAGAAACTTCAAGCCACTAGCTTGAAGCCCTATGTTCCACTGGGGAATGTGAAGGAAAAAATTATTATTAATTTATTATTATTAATCTAGGTAGGTGGAGAGAGAGATTGACTACTGTATCCTTGTTCATCGAGTCTTCACCCAACACGTGAAATAGTAATCACTTATCACTCATACCGGAAATATGGAAAGTAGTACTACCAATCAAATCAACCGATGGAATTATATAAACGAAGTTAGAAATTTGTGTGGATATGATTATGAGCTGTAATAGATTGTGCTCGAAAAGTGGTCATCAGTAAATAATACTGTCTAACACTGTGAGACTTTATCAGAATGAATTTTACCCATCATGGAATTATACTCTACCACAGTTCACACGTTCTTTTCTTATATCAGTTTTCTGAGCTGTTACTTAAGATCTCTGACACTTGATTTCACCCACCTCATAGATCTGGTCAAGGAAGTTATCTAGAAGTCCAGTGATTATTTTCATGTTTCAGTTTGATGACTATGAATGTATTAGTGTCGATCTAATGGTTTAGAAAATTTCAAAGAAAAAATGATGTAACTTTATAGCCAATGTACACAGCATTCTGTTCGTTTACACAAGTAGTTCAAGGGTACTCAGAGTTTCATTCCAGTCATCGGGTAAGTACTTATGTTACTAAAACTTCTCGAATAAAGGTTATTCTTTTCTCATGTCTGTTAAGAGAAAACTGCTTTCACTTATAATAAAGTTTTAACTTATATACACCTACTGTGTATCCAGTAAACGTTATTAGAAATCAGACCACGTCAACCCTAACTTAGTGATAGGGAGTGAAGTGATAGAACATGTTGACCACTTCACCTATTTGGGAAGTTGTATTAGCACCAACGGACTGATTGGCGATGAAATCTCAGCACGGATCCGAAAAGCTCGAGCTGCTTTCGCTGACTTACACCATCTCTGGCGTAGGCGTGACATCCGGCTATCAACCAAGGGACGTGTGTACTGCTCAGCAGTTCGCTCCGTCCTTCTCTATGGCTCTAAAACATGGCCAATTCGCGTTGAAGACATGAAAAGGTTGACTGCTTTCGATCATAGATGTCTGCGATCTCTGTCTCACGTTAGGTGGTTTCACAAGGTAAGTAATGTTGACGTTAGGCGTAGAGTGTTGGGCAAACAGGGAAAATCAATCGACGAGGCTATAAAGTTACACAGATTGAGATGGCTAGGTCACGTGCTGCGCATGCCTAACCACCGCCTCCCCGACGGGCATTACTAGCTGATATAGGTGCATGTTGGAAAAGAGCCAGTGGTGGCCAAACAAAAACATGGCCTCATCAATCCATGAAATCCTTGACAGTTAAACTGAGTCAGGTAGGGAGATGCAGACTCCCGGGTTGGAGCCCTCGGGACTCTAGGAATCAATGGCTGGAGACAATAGGTGACATGGCTCAAAGTGATCGTTGTCAATGGCCAGCGCAGATGTATTCAGTCTCTGTAATCTTTCATATTCCTTTCTACCATTACCCATTCTGTTTCACTCTTATACTTGTCAGACTGTATTGATTCTCT